TTCTCTCTCTCTTTCTCTCTCTCTTTCTCTCTCTCTTTCTCTCTCTCTCTCTTTCTTTCTCTTTCTCTCTGCAGTCACTGTAATGCCAATTAAGGTAATGACCAAGCGGTGACCTCCACCTCGCCGAATTCGACCGAACATGGCCGAGTGTTGCCGAGTCTGTGATTGCCCAATCTAAGGAGCAGGACTACCTCTACTGCATAGCGTACTATTAGAAAGAGACACACCAACAAAACAATAGATAAGATAGATAGATAGATAGATAGATAGATAGATAGATAGATAGATAGAAAGATAGATAGATAGATAGATAGATAGATAGATAGATAGATAGATAGATAGATAGATAGATAGATAGATAGATAGATAGATAGACAGATAGATTATCTATCTATCTGATAGATAGATAGATAGATAGATAGATAGATAGATAGATAGATAGATAGATAGATAGATAGATAGATAGATAGATAGATAGATAGATAGATAGATAGATATGCGTGTGGGTGTGGGTGTATGCGTGGGTGTGCGTGTGTGCTTGCGTGCGTGCGTGCGTGTGTGTGTACGTGCGCGCGCGTGTGTGTAGCGACGTACGGCGATCGGAAACGGTTGTCCGGTGCTGCGGCGTGACTTGCTATTGCCGACGTACACCTGACACTGCATGTCGGCGTCGTAGCGCTGCCCGATGAGTCGCGTATCGGTGTCCTTGAACGCCGTCGACTCGCTGTTGTCGTTGTCTAGGCAGCGGAAAAGCCTGCGGGCAGCAGCGGGGAAGATGGAAGCGGGAGGGGAGAGAGAGATACGACATACGCACGCGTTCTTGCTGATTGAGAGAGTTACTTGGCGCAGCTGCTTAAGCGAGCGTGAAGTTCCCAGTTAGAAATCATCAGTGAAAAGTGATTGAATAAGCTTGATTGAAAACCGACAGATCCTTGCGCAGTTACCTAAACGCGTAAATAACGTGAACTTTTGTGTATGAAGTTAAATTAAGTATTAAGTTAGAAAAAGTCTTGAAAAGAACGATTAATAAGAACGCAAGAATGATAGCGCGCTCTGTCTAACAAGCATAACGCATTATTGTGAAATGAACCCTGAATAAGAACAATAGCACACTCTTTAAAAATAGCACTTTAAGAGACGATACGTGATCGATCGATAATAATCAATAATAACCTGATCAATCGATTGAAGTCTTCGTTACTGCATCTAGACCATTCGGTGCCGACGATGACGCTCTCTGCTGACATGAGGAATCCTTTCTTAGCGCAAGTGTTACCGTAGCCATCATGTACCATGCCGAAGCTAAAACACGTTTGACACACATAACACATATATTATAACATAACACACATAACATAACACACATAACATAATACACATAACACATAACACACATAACACATAACACATAACATAACACATAACACATAACACATAACACATACACATAACACATAACACATAACACACATAACATAATACACATACCATAACACACATAACACACATAACACAAATAACACACATATATATATATATATGTACGTAGCAATTGCACTAGAACATAGGATATATACATGGCGCATACAGGTAACAAATACACATATCACATAGCATATATAAATAGTACAGCACACATATATATAGCACATATACGTAATGCATAAAACATTGCAGCTCTTTCTGGACATTTGACTAGCAGACGTATTGTTACACGGGTGAACATCGAACATAGCACAGCGTTAATTCACACCTGCATTCTCCACCACGCAGTATCTCACACCGGCCATACCATACTGAGCAACGCAATAATACGTGTCGATGCCGTACAATATAGAGTGGTAGAATTAAGCTCATAGTTATAATTAGTCTATCGTGAGCTTCGTAATAACAGCCTATGCCGTCGAAAATCGTATCCGCGTATCCGCCCTTAATCACATTGCGATCGCGTCAGCATCTCTGCATGGCCCCCTAGTGTACCAAGCTAATGCGACTATAGGGTAGGAGAGGATTTTCAACAGAAGATAAAGAAGAAAAAACTGCGTGAGGATGTAGACGTGACTAACGTTAATTCGCGGCCAAATAGTAAATGTTAAGCTAGTGTGCTTCCGCAGTGAGTCATGGTGCTTACGCAGCCCCACACATTTCCTGCACATATCAGATTTCATATATATATATGCATATATATAGATAATTCGTCTATCGTGAGCTTCGTAATAACAGCCTTTCCCGTCGAAAATCGCATCCGCCCTTAATCACATTGCGATTGCTTCAGAGTCTCTGGCCCTCTAGTGTACCAAGCTAATGCGACTATAAGGTAGGAAAGGATTTTCAACGGGATATATAAAAAAACTGCGTGAAGATGTAGACGTGACTAACGTTAATTCGCGGCCGGGGATTCGCCCGTAAGGTTTCTCTCGAGGCTGGCATAGTTTTACGTCCTAGATTCTCGGTCGCCGAAATAGTAAATGTTAAGCTTGTGTGCTTCCGCAGAGAGTTATGGTGCTTACGCAGACCCACGCACTTCCTGCACATATCAGATTTCATATATATATTTATATATATAGAGAGAGAGAGAGAGAGAAAGAGATATATAGATAGATAGATAGATAGATAGATAGATAGATAGATAGATAGATAGATAGATAGATAGATAGATAGATAGATAGATAGATAGATAGATAGATAGATAGATAGATAGATAGATATATATATATAGATAGATAGATAGATAGATAGATAGATAGATAGATAGATAAATAGATAGATAGATAGATAGATAGATAGATAGATAGATAGATAGATAGATATATATATAGAGATAGATAGATAGATAGATAGATAGATAGATAGATAGATAAATAGATAGATAGATAGATAGAGAGAGAGAAAGAAGAGAGAGAACGA